CCTGCGCCCCGCACCCGGGGGTTCCCGCCGCTTCGCAGGGTGCCATCCTCGGCGCCGGTGGTCTCCCCCGAGCTGTGCGCCGGGCTCCTGCCTTCGCCGTGGAAACGGCGGCGGGAATCCGGGCTGTTGATTCCGGGCTGTGGCCGGGGGAGTTTTTACCGGTGGCAGCCAGCAAAATTCAGCCGGGCTCCAGAGATTTCGCTGTTCAGAAGTGTCCCGCTTGCTATGTGCGTTCCTTGACTGTTTTTCTGGTACTGTGCTGGTAAGAAATGTACCTGTGCCAGTATCATAGAGTAACAATATTTTTAATCTTTTTCCTTTCTGTAAATGCATTTTCTTTGTGTTTAATGTTAACATACTGAAGACTCCGGTAGTAGTCAAGGGCTGTGCCTAATAAAGCAGAAGCTTTCTTTGGAAAAGTGGACAGAAAGCAAGTAGGGGTTTTTTGTTGTTGCAGGGGAAAATTAAAAGAAATTTCTGTTTGCTGCTACTTAATAGAAAGGAAAGTGAAGTTAGCAGCTTGGAAAGCTCTCTGTTTTTCTTTTCAGAGTCTTTTTTTGGAGACCAAGAATGGCATATGTCAAGTGCTGGGGGAGAGCAGGGAAACAAAGTGGCTGAGATGCTGGTTCTCTAATAGAGAATTCAAGGCCAGAATAGCCAGAGTGGTCTTTTACAAAGCAAGGAGGCGGTTGGCATTCTGAGATGTTTCTTTTGTATTTAGAGAATAAATATTAAAGAGTACCTTTCTGCCTTCTCTTATGGGCTGCACAGTACATTTTACCCTTTTCTTTCTTAAGGCCCTTTCTGGGGATCCATCCTTAAGGCTTGGGAAATGAAAGCCAGGCTGATTGGCTTCTCAAAAGAAATATTTCATGAATTATTCTGCTTCTGAATTTTCAAACCACACATGTTTCAATGTAAAACTGAGTTAAATTATTTTTGTGGAATACAGAGTTATTAGTGAAGAAGCACATACAAAAACTATTGTTTACAAAACCCCTACCCTTCTCTAGTCTGGTATTGGTTATTTTCTATTTCCCTTTGGCATGCCACTGATTTTTTGGAAGATTTAAGAGGTGCAAACTGTATTGGAAATTAAGTCAGTGTTCAGATTTTCTGTTATTGTGCCTCCTGAACCACCTAGCTGAGAAGGAGTACACAGTAGTTCTTTTCTCACTGTCTTTGGGTAAGGTCTAGTTTCCATTCAAATTTGAAGTGAAATACCAAATCTAAATTAATCAAAAACTTTCAGGGACTCAGTAGGTGTTTGTTGCTTTGATGAGAAATGACTAGTTCATCCCTTTGTTTTTTGTTCGCCTAATCCTGAGCAGAACATTTTTTCTTTTTAGCATTTTTCAGGGCTAGAAGAAGCTGTCTACAGGAACATCCAGGCATGCAAAGAACTTGCTCAAACCACCCGTACAGCTTATGGACCAAATGGTAATAAATCCTAAAATTACTGTAGAGTTTTTGAGCAAAAAACTGGCCTCAAGTTGCACCAGGGAAGGTTTAGGCTGGATATTAGGAAAAATTTCTTCACTGAAAGAGTGGTCAGACATTGGAACAGGCTGCCCAGGGAGGTGGTTGAGTCACCATCCCTGGAGGTGTTCAAGAAACATGTAGATGTGGTGCTTAGGGACATGGTTTAGTGAGTTAGGTGGTGTTGGGTTGGACTTGATGATCCTTGAGGTCTTTTCCAACCTTTATGATTCTGTGATTCTATGAAAATTGTATGTTTGAAGGCTAAACCTACCTCAGCAAAGAAGCAACTATTTGTTTCTTGAGGAAACACATTGGGCTTTCTCTAAATCTCATAGTCTTTGTGGTTGTACAGATATGACTTGGTTTGGTTATCTCAAGTTACATACAATGTGCCTGCCTTTGCCAGGTTTTTGTACTGGTTATTGTGTCGTCTTTGCTGTCTTACTGCTATATGGACAACCTACAAAAATTAAAGGAAAGATGGTAATTTGGTAGATAGTCATAATGCACATAACCATACCATGTCCAGTCAGATATACCAAAACAAAAGGTGTTTTCCAGTATCGATTAATTAAATGATGTACTGATACTTCTGAAGAGAGCTCTGCTTCTTCACAAATTATTGATTTCTCCTTAATGTAACACACTCCCAAGCATTAATTCACAGAAATCTTTTAGATTCTTAAATTACCAATAGGGCTAATGTTGTGTAAGATATACCTGAAAGTTATGAAATGGTATCTATGTACAAAATTATGTTTGCCTAATGGATGATTTTTAATTTTTTTTCCCTTGGTAGGAATGAACAAAATGGTTATCAATCATCTGGAGAAGCTTTTTGTTACAAATGATGCTGCTACTATCTTGAGAGAGCTGGAGGTAAGTTTTCGTGCTTCAGAAGATGTCAGTTGTGAACTAGTTTTTCTGTTCATGTCCTGCTACGGTTGTGTAGCATGTATAATAAGGCAATCTATGTCACCTTGCCAGATGATTTACATGTGTCATTTTGTAACTCATTTACATTTTTCACTGAATTTGAGTAAAGTTAATGAGCTATATCCACAGGAATAAACTCTTTTGTAAAGCAGCATTAAGTAGTTGCACGAGATGCTTAATAATTGTGTACTTTTTTTTTCCCCCCAAACCAGTGCAGGTTTAGAAGAGGGTATATCTGACAGTACAGTGTTTGTAAAAGTCTGAATTAAATTGTGGATGTAGTAATCTGGTGCTGGTGGTTGCCGTGTTTTCCTTTCTGCTTAGAGTACGTTAATTGGATTTAAGAAGCTGAGGCTATAGCAGCATCCTCCTGTGAATACAGTAAAAATGTATAAAGACTGACCTGCCCCAACTTTTTCTCTTACTACCAATTTCATATTTGTATCACAACACAAATGATATTTTACTGAATTCTATACTTACAGAAATAGTGTAAGTATTAAGTATTTCCTTACTTAATGCATTGTGTTAGTGTTCAGTATGAGCTGAGTGACTGTGGAAACCTCAATTCTGTTTTTAAAAGATAATCTGCAGACTACTACTACTACTGCTAATGAGTCTTACATGTTTCTTTCTGGGATAAAATGAGAGCTGCTCTATATGCAAGAATGCAGAATTTTTATTCCATTTCTTTGAAAGAAAGGGAAAGCAGTGCAATCTTTAAGCAGGAAAAAACACTAGAATTAAACTGTAATTTACACATCCACTGCATGTGTTACACGTGGATTCAGCTTGAAGATCTGGACTTCAGGCTGCTTTCCTGTTGTAGAGCTTGATTCTGAAGTCACTGTATCCCATAAAAATAGCACAGAAACAATGTCAAGATGTCTAAGATTCATGTTGTAGGGGGAATGTTCAGTTTTCTGATTATTTTTTTTCATGTATGTTTGTACTTCTGCTTATTGGGGAAGTTAGACAATTAAGATAACCTGTACTGTTTTCTTTTCCTATTTTGTGTGTTCCTAGTATTTTTAGATACAGTTTGAAATAAGAGAGCTTATACTGGATGCACAGAAAAACCTGGAGCCGTCATCTACATGTGCTGTTAGTAACTAAGATGTGTAACTTCTTTTAAAGGTCCAGCATCCTGCTGCAAAAATGCTTGTGATGGCTTCCCACATGCAAGAGCAAGAAGTTGGAGATGGAACAAACTTTGTCCTTGTTTTTGCTGGAGTTCTTCTGGAGTTAGCAGAAGACCTTCTGAGGATGGGGTTATCAGTGTCGGAGGCAAGTCATGTTATTACAATTCACATAGCTTAAACTCAGATTGCTGTTGGTGGGTATTCTTGGGTCATAGTACTGTGAATCATTCCTTCTGAACTAATTTTTTAGACAAACATGTATGAATAAGAACAGTATTTGTTTTGCTGCTTGTAATTGCTTGGTTCCTGTGTAACCTTTCACATTTGTTAATGTTTTGTAGCCCTTTGAAAAGGAGATAGAAGCAGTATAGATGGATAGTGAAGTGGTGTAATGAATATTTATTGGTTGCTGCACAGGTAATTGAAGGATATGAAAAGGCTTGCAAGAAAGCCCTAGAAATTCTTCCGGACTTGGTGTGCTGTTCTGCAAAGAACCTTCGTGATGTCGAAGAAGTGGCATCTTTGTTGCACACTTCAGTGATGAGCAAACAATATGGCAATGAACAATTTTTGGCAAAGCTTATTGCTCAGGCTTGTGGTAAGTGGATAAGAACAGGTGTATGCATGCATCTGAAAAACTGAGTACATTTGCTTATGATCATCAGTGATGTCTTCATATAAGATAAAAAGTATTGTTAGTTTATCAAGTTAAATTGGATGGAATGCTTTAGCCTCTGAAATTAGTATAACTTTTCTTGTGTTAAACTCCTCTTTGGCATTATTAGTCAGAAAAGGTCTGTGTTTTCTACTAACTGTTTACAGAAATAGCTTTCTAGTCTTTTTAAAGCAGAAACCCATCCTTCTATTTTTTTATCATTAGGAAGATGTATTGTGCTTCAGATAAGCTGTTACTGGTCTCAGCCACAGAGCAATGGAAGCAATACTGTAGTTGTGTTGAGTTGTGTTCTCCCTTCAGATTTCCAAGAAAAAACTTTCATGTCTAGTTGAAGTGTTTTCTCAAAATATTGTGGGTCAGACTTCACTCTTGAATGTACATGTGTAGATGGATATTCAGACTTACTTTAATTGAGCAGACTGTATAACCTGTGTCTTGGTGCAGGTTATTAGCAGGTTATAATTGCCTTAAATTTAGGTACGCATCTCAAACCAAAGAATTCTAGTACTTCAGAAAAACTCCAGGCATTGTTTATAGTGTAATTCTTGTACTTTATTAATTAAGCAACAAAAACTTTTTTTTTTTTTTTCCTCCCCCCAAACAGTTTCTATTCTTCCTGATTCTGGTCATTTCAACGTTGACAATATCAGAGTGTGCAAAATTGTGGTGAGTTGGTAGTAGCTAGCTTTACTGTATTATTAAGGTAAAAAGTTGAATGAAAGTTAATTTTAGATCCTTGAACTTGAAAGTACCTTTTCTATTCTAATCTTGTGTTGTAGCATACCTAGGAGGTTTGGGAAATAGGTCTTTACGTTCCTTGTTTAGTGCGCAGTAGCACCTTTCAGAAACAAAAGTCATGAATATTTGAAAGTTTACACTAAATCGTATACATTAACTTAATTATATGCAGGGATGTTGGTTTCATCTTTGTTGTAGAAGCAGTCACAATATTAGCCTAAATGCAGGCTGGTGGAAATGTGGCAGTCTAATCTTGTGTTCTTTTTTCAATGGAACATTAGGCCTCAGTATGGCATGTAGGATTGGAACAAGTTTATATCTACTGTAAGTTTCCCTGTCTTTCCCCTGATAATAAATACATAACAAGTTGAGCACAGAAAATGAATGTCATGGGCCTTAACCTGAACCACCAGCTAATCTTAAAATGGGAACCTGTAGGACAGTGTTTGATGTTGCTAAATCAGCTTAAGTCTTACTTCTTTGTGCTGCAATGAAAATTTAGGTTGCTTTCCCCTGTTCCATTTCTTTCCTTTCAGGGTGCTGGTATCTCTGCTTCCTCCGTACTGCATGGCATGGTTTTTAAAAAAGAAACTGAAGGAGATGTTACTTCTGTCAAAGATGCAAAAATAGCTGTGTATTCCTGCCCTTTTGATGGTATGATAACTGAAACTAAGGTATGTAGAAGCTCAAAATAATTTATATATCTATTTATGCTCATGTGTTCTTATTTTTAGATGTAACTATAAATATTTTTGACACTTGGTGATTGAGATATTTTTGTTAATATTGAGTTCATTAGTTTAAAAAAAAGTTAATAGAAAATGTCTGAACCTAATTTTGCTTTACAGGGTTTTTAGGATTGGGGCTTTGTTGGGTTATTTGAGCCAAACAATATGCTAGAATGTTTGAACATCTAGGTTGTCTAGAAATGTTAGAACTGCCCTTTTTTGACTTGTTTTACCCGAGTGCCTGGGAAGGGTGGTAGTATTATAAAATAGGATGACTTGAGGTTTATCGACAGGTTGGTTTGTCAAAAACTTGCAGGTATGTAGTTAGCATGGAATTAATAAAAATGTATGTGTTTTACTAGGGCACTGTACTTATAAAGAATGCTGAAGAACTGATGAATTTCAGTAAGGGAGAAGAAAATCTAATGGATTTGCAAGTCAAAGCTATTGCTGATAGTGGTGCAAATGTAGTAGTAACAGGTGGCAAAGTGGCAGACATGGCACTTCATTATGCTAACAAATACAGCCTTATGATAGTCAGGTAAGTACTAGAAGAGCATAAAAACGTTTGATCTACCACATTTATGAAATGTACTGGCCATGTGGTCTCTTACCTCTCAAGTGATGAGAAACAACAGTATTGCAGGTTCTTTGGTTTTCTAGTAGATCAAAATCTGAGCTGCAATTTGGTTGTTTCATAGCTTGTGTTTCTTGGTAGTATTTCACCTCTATTTGACAGCTAAGTGGGGAGTAACTTGTGTATATGGTACTGTTATTCTGGTTTAATTGGCTTTATAGCACAACTGAAATCAAGGATCTAGTACAGGCATGTGGCCTCAAAGGCACATAAAACTTAACATAATGGTTCCTCCTGGTCACAGTCCTCATGTGATGGTTTAGCAATGATAACAAACACCTCTGTGCATCACTAATGTATTGGTGCATGGCTGAACTAATTCTTAATAATTTTCTGTCATTTTTGTGGGCCTTAAATATTCTTATCTATAAATAAAGCATGTTTGTATGTTCTTGAAATACATTCTGCAAACCACAAAGTCCAATTACTAGCAGTGGCTCTCGTGTCTCACACAAATAAGTGGTCCTTTGTTGAAAGCTGTTAACTTTGTTGATGGTATCCAAAAAGTTTGAACTTCTGGAAATGGAGCAAGATGCTCTAATCTCTTGCATAACAAAGAGGGATTGTTACAGAGGTGTTGTAAAGATCGGTTACAGTTTTATGAGCTTGAAGATGATGTTTGATAATTTCCATGTATTTGAACTACTTACTTGTTTTTAGATTCTTAGAAAATAGGTCTCTGCATAGCATTGCTGAAAATAGATAATTGTAACTTGAAAAAAATAGATGAGTGAGTTTTATAACTTGTGCAGTAAATTTTGATAGATGTCATTACTTTCCAAAATACTAACGAGTTATGAGTGCACTTACATGTGTTAACATTTCTTCTGAAAACTTGTTATTAGAAAGATTGTTTTTGTTTTTTAAAGGTTGAACTCAAAGTGGGATCTGAGAAGACTGTGCAAAACTGTTGGTGCAACAGCCCTACCCAGATTGGTATGGACCTCTCAAATCAGGAGCAGAAGGGAGAGAAGTGATGAGCAGGTTCACCTCTTAACTCTTTTGTTTTTCTTTCCAGACTCCCCCTACTCTAGAAGAAATGGGTCACTGCGATAGTGTTTATTTATCAGAGGTTGGGGATACACAAGTTGTTGTGTTTAAGCATGGTATGTATGTTCTATAGAACTTCTAATGCTGCTGTTCTAAAAGTACGATGTTCATATGCGTTTTACATCTAACAAACATAATTCAGTAATGCATGTGTCTGTCTGAACAGAAAAGGAAGATGGTGCTATTTCTACTATACTCATTCGTGGATCTACAGATAATCTGATGGATGACATAGAGAGAGCAGTGGATGATGGTGTAAATACTTTCAAAACACTCACAAGGGTAAGTATTCAGAACATTTCGGTTATCAAAACTGAGCTATGGATCAGTTTGAGGCAAGACTTGTGCTTGATCTGTGCTCATTTGCTACAAAGGCTGTAGCAGATATTTACATTATCAGCTTAGGAGCCTTCCTGAGGTGCAGAGAAGGCTGTGTAGGATTGAGGTGTAGAGGGCTGTCTAGAGAAGATTGCTGCTGATGTCCTTGTGAATACAGTGTACATAAAAGACAGTGATCAGCATGCGTTGCACTCAGTTTTCCAGTAATGTGGTGAGTTCTTGAAGATAGATAATTTTTACTGCTTTATAATGGCAGTCAACTCTTCGTTGACAATTTCTCTAAAAGTTTTGTAATGTTCCTTGGAAACCGGGCACAGAAGAAAAGCTAGATAGCTTTGTTTGTCACTAGGGATCTGGAGGAACTGAGTGGTTGCAAACTTAATTTGCAGTTCACTGGTGAGAAGACATGCTTCCTCCACATCACAGTGCAGATATGTTTTACAGAAGGAAGAACTCCTTCTGAGTTTTTTCTGAGCAGCTTTTGTGACCTTGAATATTCTTCTTTCCTTTTCCTGCATTTTTTTTAATGCAAAAGGAAACATTTGTGTATTTGCTTGGAATGTAAATAATTTCTTGTATATACCAGTATGTGCACACTGATTTAGAGTACAGAAACAGCCATAGCTGGTGCATTTATGATTGTCTCCAGGAGCTGTCCTAACTTCTGATACATGATGATTACTTTTCTGTTTAAAAGGCTGGGAGTTCTTGAGTGGATGCTGGTTTGCAAAAGGATATACAAAATGCTTAATTAAAAAGCAAACAAAACAAAAACACCCCAACAGTTTGTGATACCTGTTGACATATTAAACTTAGTGTACAGTAGATTGGTTTCCTGCATGATAGTTCCCAACAAGTTAATCGAAAAGATGAGAAAATCTAGGAGTTCTAGTATTGGTAGGCAAAGAGTTGAAAGAACTTTTTCTAAAAAGACAAACAACCACCAGAAAACTAAACCACTGCATTGTTATTTTCCTTTTTTGCAAAAGAAGCGATTTTTCTTCAAAGACATTTGGAACAAGTAAAATCTTGTAAATTTCCCTTACAATGCATGTTTGTTCTGAAGCTGGTTCTTAGGAAGTCTCTGTGGGATAAAGTTCTGTTGTGTTATTGAGTATATAAATTCTAAAATGTGGAAATTATTATGATGTTTTAAGCAAGACTTTGCATTTTGGGCGGTCTTTTCACAGGATAAACGTCTTGTTCCTGGAGGTGGTGCAACAGAGATTGAATTAGCCAAGCAGATCACATCTTATGGAGAGGTACAGCAAATGGGCGCTTTGACTTTCTTTTTAATATATATATACACCTATATGTACTTATGTATGTGACTTATAAAAATGCATACATATTATTTTATACCAAACTATGTATGTGTATTCATGCATGTAAATCAATAAAAAATGGGGGGAAAATACCTCCCTATCTTAAGATTTTTGAAATGCTGATGTGGTTTTCAACTTCACTTCAGACTTGTCCTGGGCTTGACCAGTATGCCATCAAGAAGTTTGCTGAGGCATTTGAAGCAATTCCTCGAGCACTGGCAGAAAACTCTGGAGTAAAGGCTAATGAGGTCATCTCCAAACTTTATGCTGTGCATCAGGAAGGGAACAAAAATGTTGGATTTGATATCGAGGTAAATAGTCTCATGTTACTTGGTGCCCTTTGATACAGAGTTATATTTAAAAGTACTTCAATCAGTATGAAGTATTTATAGATTAATTTAAATCATTGAAGATCTGTTGCACAGTCTAGAAGAATTAACTTCTCAGAATTGTAATACTGAAGTGTTTCCTTTCATCAGCAGGCAGTTAAATTAAATGTAGTGTAGTGGATTTATGTAGGAGATAAAGTGAGATACTGAACCAGTGTGATAGATAATAAGTCTTTAGTAATTATTTTGTCTTTCTGCTAATGGATTAGGAATTAAGATTTTCTGAAGAGAGAAGATGAAATCAGAAAAATTATAATTTGTTCTAAACTTGTGACGTTGAAAACCCAGTAACTTGCTAGGTAGAAGCCTGAGAAAGTTTTGAATAATGTTTTTCCCCTGTCTGATAGGCTGAAGCTGCTGCTGTGAAGGATATGTTGGAAGCTGGTGTTTTAGACACATACCTTGGCAAATTCTGGGGTATCAAGCTAGCTACAAATGCGGCAGTAACTGTCCTAAGGGTAGACCAGGTAAGCTTACAAGTAATTTTGAGTGCTGAACAGAAACCTTTTAACTTGGTTTGCATAACACTGATGCAAAATATGTGAATCTGCTGGGAATGGAAAGCATAAAAATATGGTACTTGAAAATATGGTTTGATTATTTCTGAAAGTCAGGAAGCAGTTTGTTCAAGAGCTCATAATTTGGAGTGTTGCAATGTTGCTGCTTCCATAGGAGCACTATTTATGGTTTGTTTTTTGTTTTTTTGGTTTTTTGTTTTTTTAAGATTTGACAGTAGATGTTCATATCCAGAAGGTTGTCGTAACTTTTGTTGGAAGAAGATTTAACACAAAAAACCTTTTCTAATGTATTGTTTTTACATGAAAGTCCAACTTTTAGGGAAAATAGAGGTTACAATTCTTAATGAAAAAAATCTTAACTTTAGATGTTTTGTGGAACTTTAGCAAAAATGTATTTGCATGTAAAATTTCTGTAGATTATTATGGCAAAGACAGCAGGTGGTCCAAAAGCCCCTAAGCAACAAGGACATTGGGATAAGGATGACTGGAAAGATGAGCCTGAAAAATAGTATGCAGTAAGCTCTGTTTCTCTAGCAGAGGGGTATCTGTGTGTGAGTGCATGCATGGATATATTGACAAGCACATGGCGGATGATATCTTTCCTTAGGACACATAACACTGCTGTCTTACGTGTGCTGATTGCTACATTTTGTACTTGTGCTTTTGCAAATGCATTGTACTCCTAAAGCAAAATTTTAATTGAAGGGGTGACAGGTGCAGTTTTAGTTGTTCTACCTTACTTGTCACTATAACGAGTGCAGAAAATGAGCCTTTAACATGGTAGGAGTAGTGGACTTCATGCTTTTAAAGTGTGATGTTTAGACTCAGTAATTCAGAACAGTAGTTCTGATAATTCTGCTTTTTGTAGTGTGCATCCTGTAAACCAGTCACTCAGCCTGTTTAAGCACTCACTTTTGTAGACTAACTGAAGTCTTAATTTGCATGCAAAAATGAGGTAGAAGCCCTTTCTTGTATATCAGAGCTCAGCATCTGCCATTTTCAAGAAAAAAAATAACTAATTTGTGAATATCTCAGTTAGATGGATAATATTCACTGGCTTGGTGCATGAATTTAGTGAATGTTGACAGTCAGCATTATATGGCTGTAAGTAGGAGTGGAGTGAGAGTCTGATTCTAACCTTGTCTTTTTCTCCTTCCCTGTTATCTTCAAGATCATTATGGCAAAACCAGCTGGTGGCCCTAAACCTCCCTCTGGAAAGAAAGACTGGGATGAAGACCAAAATGATTGAACAATTAATTCTTAAGTGATGTGATTATGTGAGTTTTTTAATATTCCAGTTGGAGCTTGTCACAATGGTTTGCTCTGTTGCCTTTAAGTTATGAACTGTGTCCAATGGAGTGCAGAACTTCAAAAACTTCAATAAACATACTCACTGTTAAAATGTTAGCTGTCATTTTATTTGGACTTAGCATGACATGGTTGTTCCCAGTAGGTGAATATGCAGGCATTTTTGTGGGGATGACACTGTGTGGATGTGGTGGAAAATAAGTAGAACAGCCTCATGGTTCTGAGATAAAGATGGGGAGATCACTTACCAATTACTGTCTCATGCGAAACAAATTCAACATGTTGAAAATAATTTATTGGCAATTAAAAACAGAGTTGGAGGATAAGAAATAAGAACAAAAACTAAAATACCTTCCTGTTCACCTCCTGTTTTTTCCAGGCTCAGTTGTACTCCTCCATTCCTGACTCCTTTGCCTGTTCCCCCCCTGCCCCCTGAGTGGTGTGGTATGGGGAAGGGGGGCTGGGTTCAGTCCATAACAGCTCCTCTCTATGCCTCCTTTCTGTGCATACTTTTCCCTTCCTCCCATTCCACAGGGTACAGTCCTTTGTGAGCTGCTTCAGCACAGGGATTCTCTGTACAGGTTAGAGTCCATCAGGAACAGCTGCTGCTGTATGGTCTTCCAAAGGCTGCGGCTTCCTTCCAGGCATACATCCACCTGCTCTGGCCTGGGGGCCTCCACAGCTGCAGAGTGGAGGTCCAGCATTGTCCTCTCCATGAGCTGCAGGGGGACAACCTGCTCCAGTGTGTTCTTTTCAGGGGCTGTAGAGGATCCTTGCTCAGGTTCCTGGGTCCCCCCAGGGCTGTTTCTCACACTTTCCCCCTTGCTCCAGGGCAGTGTTTTGCCCTTTCTTACACAGGCTTTCTCCAAGGTGCCACCCTCTTGGTTGAGGGGCGCAGGTATGTCATGCCATGGGCCCATTGGAGCTGGCTGTGTCCAGCACGAGGAACAGCTGGTGTCCCCTCACAGAGCCCACATTTGCAGCCCACCCCACCATCTTGATACCTGCACCCAGTACAGTGGAGGAGGGAGACGGACCAAGAGCAGGGAGCTCATAACTTCAGGAAAGCATCATCTATAACTGTGGCAGCTCATTGTGCTCCTTACCCAACATTTGAATGTAAAGTCACATGAGGAGTGAAATAATTAAGTAGGGTGCAAGCCTGTGGTCCAGACCTACATTCACTTTTGTTACAGGCGTCTATTTCATCCTCACCCTTTAAGAGTCTCCATTCTCTGAAAATGGCAGCCTGACAGCAGTGAACTGCATCTCAGTCTTAACAGCCTTAAAAATAAATGCTGAGGACCAAGAGCTAGCATGATGTGGAGTGCTGGAATCTTTCAACTGAAGTCCTGTTAAGATTCTTCTTGGAAAGTAAACAGCTTGTGTCTCAAGAGTAGCTTGAAAGAACTGCACTTGAAATTCAAGCCACTTCAATAATTAATCCTTTTATTACTCTTGCCAGTGCTACTCTAGTTCACAGCCAGAAGGGAGTGGAAGGCTAAATCAAGCCTGGAACTATCTTATGACTAAATAAGGCTGCCATACAACAGCTATGCTAGTGCTCACTTCATAGTTGGTTGCTGGTGTGGCTGAAAAATAAACTCAGCAAGTTTTCAGAAGGATTGGCATACTGATCTAGTCAGCTGCACAAGTGCTACTGTTGATTACTGTTGTAATAAGAAGACATAACACACCCATTTTCTTAGTAAGGTGTTTGTGAAAAATGCACTGAATGTAAGCAGCTGCTGCTCTAGCATGGAGAAGCCAAGATATTTTTGTGAAACCCAATGTGAAGCCTAGCCTGTGGAGAAATTTAAAGTTACAAGTAATTGCAGGACTATTCATTGCTCCAGTGCAGAAAGACTAAGCAAGAGTGACTAGCAAAAGCAAGAGAGATGTGAGCTCTCAGCCTTGCCAAAACACCAGCATAAGGTTCCCCTGCAAAAGAATTACTAGAGAGTTTGCAAACTGAGGGCTCCTCTCTTGGACATAAACCAACAGCGGAAAGAGAGCTGATGCTGAATTGGTGTAGGAAGAAACAGTTTCTTATGCTTGGAACCCAGTTCTAAAATACATATGGAACAGATGATAGCTGAGATAACTATAGTTCAAAATTACAGTCAGTCCCTTTAAAAGATGCTGACTAAGTTTCCTGCAAGTCCGATACATATAAAAGTAGTAGGTGCTTGTCTGTACCAACACAAATTACTCAATAGAAGCTCAAAGCTTAGTTTTGAAAAATCTTTTATTTAAAAGTAGTGAAAACACTGGAAAAAGTATAAGTTAACCACTTGTCAGTGTGTCTAAGAAGCATAAAGTATATTCCTGCAGTTCTATACAGTAGATCAAACATGTTAACGACATGGTTTGCAAGTCTTTGCCTCCTTTCAGACTAATTGAAGATGGCTGCACATACAAGAAGGCTTCTCAGAGGAGCTAGAGCAGTCGCTCATAGAACAGGAGATAGGCTTGCGAGCTCAGCACTTTTGATGTAGACACAGCTTGTACACGGGTATCACTGATGTGGAACCACTGCCCTTTTACTGGTTCAGTTTCTAAAGCTGTGGAAGGAAGAATTTAGGAGTAAAAGTTATTACAAACAATTGAAGCAATCAATCGTTATTGTTCTGCAGTAAGAAATAATTTGTAAAATATTTCTAATTATTTACCTTGAGGAGATTGTCCTCGGAGGACAAGATCAGAGAGGTGGTTGTTCATACTTCTCATCTTAGCATAAGCAGTGTAGTGCCCAGACCTCATTGTTCCACTATGTTCAACAACTCCATAGAGAGAGTACAATACTTTTGTATTCCCTTCAGCCACGTTCTATCAAAGAAGAAATTCAGGTACATCAGTCAGGTACTGGATTTTAAACAAGACTAGAATGTAAACTCTTTGTTTCACTTTGTTTGCTGACAAAAGGGAAGCTGGTCATTACACATTCATGCAAGCTCTAGAGCTACAATCAGCAGAAGTACACTGACAAGTACAAGTTGCACTTGCAAGTTATCCTGTATTAGCACACAAAATAACTGAATCTTGACAAGCGTTCTGCACAGATTCTGCTACGCAGCTGAATTGTGAAAGCACATCTGAACATGGGAAAGGAGAATCTCATTGTTTTCCCACTTACTTTACATTTAGCTGTACAGAAAGGAGCCAAGTCTATCACTTCTGGAAACTTGATATGCCTGTTAACCTTTCGTAGATTAAATCCAGCCTTAAACAGATAAAGTAGAGGAAACCCCACATTGTTAAAAAGGTAGCATATTAAAACCATGCTTAGTTACTAAATGTTTCAGGTTCAAGTTTCAAAAATACAAAATTAGTTTTATATTAAACAAAACTGGGAAAATGCAACACTGAGGGGTGTTTTTTTTCTCCAATGCCCAAGGTTTTCCAGCATTACCTCCTCACCCTCACATGCTGCACTGGAACACAAGTTAAGATGGCTCTTCAGCTCACTCTTACGGTAACTTAACAGTAGCAAAAGTGGAAAAAGAATCAGCTCTAATGTACCTATGTAACTATGAGGACACCTCTTGATTCTGAGATACTGTAGTATGCCTGAGGATCTAATTTTATATTGTCAAAACTGAGGTAACTTACTTTATTCAAATAATCTTCCAGTATCAAACTGGAAAAACAATAGGAGAAGATGACGTTATTTCCTTAATCATGTTACAGTCTCTTGGAACAGGCTACACAATCCCATTTTCTCTGTGAAATTGTTTTTCATCTAGTTAAAGTCATCTCCCTTATTTTTCAAGTATTTTGACCAAAATACCAAAGAGCTTTAAATTTAGAAGAGGCAATACTCTCTCCCCCAAGGCTATGTCTTTCCTCTTTCTTTCTTGAAAAGCTAAAGCCCTGAATTAAAAATTTTCCTACAACTTGGAAAAAAGGTAAAGCACTTTACTTGGGTGTTGTAAGTAAGACATTGTATTGCTTTCCATTCATCCCTTCCCACCCCCTACTCCCTCATTAAGGCTCAGAATCCTCTCTTTTCCAATTCTGATGACCTTTTTGTTACATTCATTTAGTAAGGGATCCTCTTCTATATGTACTGAAGGGTAAGAGTCCATGAACTGCTGCAGTGGCAGGAAACAATTAATACTAAGATACCTCTTAACATAGTAAGCAATAAAAATAGTGAGGGAATATATTGCAAATAAGCTTACAAAACAGTGTTTTCCAGATAACTAGTGGAAGATTCTTTCAGGAAAACACACCCCAACTCCTCAAAGACCACAAAAACCAATGCTGCCCACCAATGCTTTCCAAACCTTGGGGAAAAAAAACACCCAAACACAGGCTTATAGGGAATGAAAATACGCTAACATTGGTTCTAAGTTAAGCTAGTACTATGCGCATATATACATATACAAACTGATACTATATACATACACATTTTTACAATATCAGCCTACTACTTACCTGTTGAAACCTCTTTAAGTGAAGAGTTAAAATTGGAGGAGCAAGAGAGATTAGCATCTGTTTTTTGGCATTTGTATAAACATACTTCTTTTCACCTGCACAAAAGAAAAGCTGCCAATGATTAACATCTAAACAAACGTTACAGCAAGAATTTATTTTCACTATTTAGACTGTCATAATGTCATCTACTACAACATCTGAGAAACGGAACATCATGTTAAATGATGAACTGTACAACAGCTGCCACCTTGCAGATCCTATCTCACAAAAGTAACCACTCACACCACGTCTGAGCAGTGACAGCAAAAGCGGGATGAATTCTTGCTTCTTCTCTACTACTCTCATAACCAGCAGTTGCATGCAGCGTTCATTGGTCTTTTCAGCAAACACCAACATGACTTCCCTGTGACTGTCACAGCAGAATTTTCACATTTGAGGAAAGAACAGAAAAGTCTCCTGATAAACAGGTGCTTCCTACATTCATCCACACCATGAATTTTTAGGTTGAAATGCCCTTTCCCTCCCCCCAACCCCACTTGCCTTTGCTCATTTTTCTTTTTCAGCTCTGTAGTATTCTGTACCCAACCTTGTGAGCCTACTATTCTGCTCAATTAAGAACTTACTTGTACTAATCTGCATGAAAGAGGTTCTCAC